AGAGAGTGAGAGAGAGAGTGAGAGAGAGAGAGAGAGAGAAAGAGAGAGAGAGAGAAAGAGAGAGAGAGACAGACAGAGAGACAGAGACAGAGATACAGAGAGAGAGAGAGAGAGAGAGAGAGAGAGAAAGAGAGAGGAGATATGAGAGAGACATACAGAGACAGAGGCAGAGGAAGAGAAATACACATAGATAGATGAATAGATGCACATCTAGACAAATAGGCAGATATACTCATAGGGAGCAGAGTGAAAGAGGGAGATGCAGGTAGATACACACGCGCATACAAAGGCAAACACATTGTCTATATTATGAACGAAAAGAGGCACACCCACCCTGCTCACCCATTGCTCATATGTGAATATCGATAGGCTTAAATAAAACATGAATAAACAAGCGAAACAAATATATTTATAAATTAAATGTATGAAATAGACAAATTCTTATCTTGATTTTTATTTCTTTCCCTCTCAGTTTGATGTATATCGTCCTCGGTTCGTCGGTATTATGTACCTATCTCGCTGGCCTGGCCTGCAAACTTCACATGCAGAGGACCGCCTTCGCATTTCCTCTCGTCCTCTCCCCTCCCGTCTCCATTGCTGTGGTCTATCTCCAGTGTAAATTTGAGGTAAAGATTAAAAAAAAAAATGATATGCATAATGGTTACGGCCTTCTGGCCAAATTTTGTTTCGGACGTTGATGCTATTTTGATATAACGTGTTGGAGTCTAGATTTACAATGTAAATAATAGGTCGGATAAAATTACTGGCCTAAATTAGATCAAGTCAATTGTCTGAAGGTCATTGTGATGTCAGCTTGTCCAATACATTATGCTAGAAGTGTGAAGGCGACTGCATTCTCGATTAACTGTAATGTCTGGTGTTGTTCTTTTGTGGGATAGATTTGATCTCATGTATATTATTTGACGCTTCAGTTTATTCAGTTATTTCTCCTGGCCTTTAAACAATGTTCACTTTTGTACAGCTTCTTAAACGAATCATCAGACTTCTTTTTCATTCTGAATTTCAGCCTAAGTTATTGCACGTGCCTGTTGTACAACGATCAATGTGGCACATTTATTATTTGAAGC